TCTGCGGTTTCCAATAAAACATAACCGTTACGTTTTTAGCCTGTCGCAACTGTCGTCGTGATAGAACTCGAGTCTATCTCGACGACACTGTTGTAACTGTCGTGAACTGTTGCCAGCGTGTCGCGACAACACTTTTCTTCACGTTTCCAATTGCTCGTGAACACTACTCTGACGAAAGTTACAACACGTTCGCGACATTTACCACCATATGGAAACCAGACTTAGGCCACATAAAAAAATATCGTTGGTTAGCGTCCTTAAGGCTGATTTCCACTGTTGCGTTTTTCGTACGCACGTACACGCACGTAAAACTTTCTTCTATTAATTCTAGAATTCTTCTATTTTTTAAATATTTTACGAATGAGTTAACAAATGCATACTAAAACTTGCGGAACACTAAATTCTGTTGCTCTATTTATCGGGTTATTTCATAAGTAACATTTAAACGAATTTAAAGTTTTACGTGCGTATACGTACGTATGAAAAACGCAACAGTGGAAATCAGCCTTTAGCTTTTGCCAACAAGTGAGCGGGCGGGCGCTTTTTTTAAAAATTTTTACTAATTTTTAATGCCTTGGTTTTAGGTCTGAAACTGAATTTTCTAGCGCAGTCCAGATATTTTTTTATATATTTCAAAATATGATTCATACCGTCATTTTCACACACAATTTCGCAATTTATTAACACAATTGACTACAGTCAACAGAAATACTACGTATATTAGAGCTCGTTGATCCATAAAAGTTGGGTTTTTTAAATAAAAAATAAAAAATAAATCCTGAGCGGGGCCTTTTTTGTGGGCGGGCGAGGACGCTAACCAACTATTTTTTTTATATGGCCTTAAGAAGGCATTCGGAGACTATACGCCTGGGGCCGGTTGTATCAAAGGCGTTTAGCTTAAACGGTGGGTAAGTCAAAATTTTAATAACACTCTTATATCTCTCGTGAATCAACTTAAATATTGTGCACCGAATATGTAGTTGTAAACATTATCGTTCTATTAAGGTTCAAAACTTTTAGTTTGGTTGTTGAATATATCTATAGAGTTGCTTTCTATTTTGAGCTTAACCACCGTTTAAGCTAAACGGGCTTGATACAACCAACCCCTGGGAACTATGGGTAAATTCTAACCCTTTTGAAGGATTGAGGGAACTGACTCCGCGTGTTTAACATTGGGACAGTTCCCTCAAACATTTCTTACAAATCCTTCAAAACTTCAGAATTTATCTATGCAAAATTCCTACTTTGAATCTGTGATCACAAGAACTTTTATATAGTGTTTAGCCCCCAGCCTATATAACGGGTATCCTTATATAGTAGCCATCCATCTGCACTGTAGACTAACAATTCACCACAAAAGCTAAACAAAAGAACACTTTTTCGCACTAATACGCACTGTATAAACACTTTTAAATTATGCACATGTTTAATGTACTGTTTAATAAACGAGCAGGAGTGTTTTATTAGGTTTAATTAAAGCCACGAGCGCGCAGCGCGAGTGGCTTTAGACTTAATAAAACACGACCTGCGAGTTTATTATCCCATTACTTTAGACTTAATAAAACATTGCTTTAGACTTAATAAAACACGACCTGCGAGTTTATTATCCCATTACTTTAGACTTAATAAAACATTGCTTTAGACTTAATAAAACACCACCTGCGAGTTTATTATCCCATTACTTCCTACATTATCCACAAGCCTCCCTATTTTTACGCTCCAGTGTTTATTAATATCATATCGTATTTCAGAACTAGTATTTCCTTGTATTTTCTACGTTCCTGATGAATCTTTTATGGTTAATAACGTTGCAGAACTACACAGTTGCCTGCGGTGGAGGCTAGTGAAAGTTCAGTCCTAGCCATATTTCGCGAACCAGGAAACTGTTGACAAACCAGGAAACATTGTTTCCTAGCCATGTTTCCCAAAGTTGGACAAACCAAGAAACATTGTTTCCTAGCCATGTTTCCCAAAGGTGGACAAACCAGGAAACATTGTTTCCTCATGTTTATGTCTTATAATGGCAACAAATTTAAAAGTTTGTTCATTACGAATTTCTAAAAAAATATAAAGCATACCTTGAATAGCCATACCTGGACACTGAATATACTGGACGTCAACCACGCATGTTCATGAAATATATCTTTCACACTAAAAAAATCAGTATATATGCATATTAAACCATATTTATTTTGTTGTGGTTAAATGTGTTTTGATTTATTGCTATTGTTCTTGTGAAAATGTTAATGATTAATTAACAAATTATAATTATTAATTATAAATTATAATAATAATTATAATTATGATTATTGAACATATTTATTGCTATTGTTCTTGTGAAAATGTTAATGATTAATTAGTTCATGCAATTGTTTTTGTTTCGTCTAATTGATTTTCACTTTACGGGATATACAGGGTGTATCAAAAAAAACTGAACAGATTTGAAATTGCTCTCAATTTCGCAAAACACCTATTTGTATCCGGTTTTTTATATATATAGCTTCTTTGGGTACTTATAAAGTAGAATAATGAAAAAAATTTCTTGAACTCAAATTTTGTGAACCAGGGGGGTGTGTCTTTTCCAACAAACTAAAAATGGCTCGCGCACACAATTTAAAAGTTATAATCATATTTGGAGTTATTAGATGGAAAATTTATCGGGTTTTTAATTACTGTACAAAATTTCAGATAATTTGGTTTAGTTTAAGCCCTTTAACTATTCACGCAAAGTTACATTTTTCCTAAAAATCAGCTATTTGCATGCTTAATTAATGCCTTTGCCTAATTTGCATATGTTAGCAATATGCAAATTAGGTAAAGGCATTAATTAAGCATGCGAAAAGCTGATTTTTTAGAATAAAATGAATAGTTAAAGGGCTTAAACTAAACCAAATTGTCTGAAATTTTGTACAGTAATTAAAAACCCAACCAAGTTTCCACCTATTAACTCGAAATATGATTACAACTTTTAAATTTTGTGCGCGAGCCATTTTTTGTTTGTTGGATAAGACACCCCCCTGGTTCACAAAGAAATTTTTGAGAAATTTTTTTCATTATTCTACATTATAAGTACCCAAAGAAGCTATATATATAAAAAACCGGATACAAATAGGTGTTTTGCGAAATTGAGAGCAATTTCAAATCTGTTCAGTTTTTTTTTATACACCCTGTACAGTATAATAAGGTGTTATACATCTTAATGGATCATTTTTTGCATTATCGACTAAATTTTGATCTACGCAAAAATTTCATCACAGCTTGAAAGAGCATTACAAAATTAGTAATATTCCGAAGTTTCGTTGCGAAATGTTGTAAAATGCGGATAATATAGCCTTGCGAAATTTGCAATTTTTACTCATTTTGTATTACAAACGGGAAATTGACAGCCCCAACACTCGATTGCCCAATTGTCAATTTCCCGTGCGTAATACAAAATGATAGACTTTCCAAAGTCCGCCGTTCGTGGTTCCTGGTAGCCTGCGTAGCAGGCGTTTAGGTTCCTGGTAGCGACGGACTTTTGTCACCCGCAAGCGCGCCAAATTCACCGGTGCATTTTTGCTCCGGTGACGTCAGTGAATGCTCATTATTATTCTGTACTAACGACGCCAAAACAATAACGAACTAGTGAAATTATTGCGCCAAATTTTTCAGTAAGATTCAAAATCAGGCAAGTGACACAAGTCGCTCGCTTCCGTCTTCCTCAAGCGCTCCCTTCTTGCTACGCGCGGTCCGGCCTAACGAGCGACTTGGGCAAGTCTAACAAAATGACTGAAAAACGGCAAACTTCGCATGCCTATATTATCCGCATTTTACAACATTTCGCAACGAAACTTTGGAATATTACTAATTTTGTGATGCTCTTTCAAGCTGTGATGAAATTTTTATCCAGATCAAAATTTAGTCTATAATGCAAATGGTCCATTAACTAATACATTAATAATCTGTTTTACTTCAAAATTTTTCTTCTCGTTTTTGCACTTACACCGCAATTTCCCCTCATAGTTCATTAAAATAATTAAAATATTTCACGGAAAGAGCTATTTTATGCCATTTGGTTTGACTTGATCTTTATTTCTAAATATTATTCTTGTTTACGTGACAAAAATATAAACGTCTGTTTACATGGGCACAATTTTACAATAAATTATTAAAACCAATGCAAGCTTGTCGACTGTGGCAACTTCTAACTTAATTCAGTCAGGTGGCAAAACAGTTTCCAAGGCTTTAGTTAATTTAGCAGGCACTGTGTATGCAAATGAGTCACAAAACGGTCACAAAACGTAAATGTTTTGTTGATTTTTGCTACAATTAGATCAACACAAGCTAACGAAGCTGCTACTGTAAATTATATCCAAAGCTAAAATGTATATTCGAATCACAATTTTGCCAGTTAGGGCATATTTTCGCTGAAATTAACAGCACCAAACAATGTTCGTCTGCAAATTCGGCTGCTAATGCCAGTACGTGTGGTAGTAATTGGTCATCTCCTGAGAGTGAGACTTGTCCTTCGTCTGCCGGATGTCTAAATGTTTTGTGGACCGAATTCAAGCCTTATTCATACATGAAGGATTCCAAGTTCAAAGGAATAATTCCAGGTAATGACATGTTTGTGTCTACTTCTTTGTTTTCCAATTGTATGTTTTAGTTAAAGCTCAATAAAAAGATATATATAATCCGTTCGTCTCTTAAACTTTATAAAGTTTATAAAATAAGTAGCAAAAACTTCCCAAGGGAATTCTTTATGAATGTGGATTTTAGTTAACAATTAAAAGCAGTCTTATTTCTTAACAATAAAATAGACGCTCTCTGACCAAAAATATATATTTATTACAAGCTTTCGGCTACCAATCTGTAGGCTTCAACGGGTGTGAGTGTATGAAATATGAAACTATAGTCTATTATTGTATATACAGAAAGATTAGCATAATTGCGTATGAAATATGAGTGTGTATTGTCAACTATGACTGCTTTTTAAAAAGAACAGTATATTGTCCGGGAAGTGGACATGAATTGTTGTCAGCATCAGTTGTTAAGGCTGTATGCCATGACTCTAGAGTTTCCCGTGTCCTTATATTCCATTTTAAAAGCAGTCGTAGTTGACAATACACACTCATATTTCATACGCAATTATGCTAATCTTTCTGTATATACAATAATAGACTATAGTTTCATATTTCATACACTCATACCCGCTGAAGGCTACAGATTGGTAGCCGAAAGCTTGTAATAAATATATATTTTTGGTCAAAGAGCGTCTATTTTATTATTATGTTTCATCCTGGCTGCGCATCTGCCTCTATTTTTTCAGTCTTATTTCTGTTACTTTGGGAGCAGAGGGGATGAAGATATACTGTATAGTGCTAATTAGCCCCGGTAATCCAGTTTCCTTCTGACGTAACACTGGGTCAAAACGAAACAGCTCTTACTGGATCTCTTGGAAGAAGAGTTCAGACAGAACCGATTGAGCTATCCAGTATAAATGAAGTTAGTTTAGGTTTCCTCCTGTAGTAACGCGGCAATTGCTAGATAGTATACTTCAAAATAAGGTTTCCGTTTTTATATCAATTTTTAAAATAAGTTAGGGCTAAGTTAGGTTAGGGTTAGGTTAGGGTTGGGGTTAGGGTTAAGGTTAGTATTAGGGTTAGGGTTTAGTTTAGCGTTAGGATGGTTTTTTCTACGTTATAAAAACGAAAACCTTATTTTGAAGTATACTTTCTAGCAATCACCGTAGTAACACTGGATCAATAAGAGATGACCCTTACTGGACCTCTAGGGAGAACAGTTTAGAACTGATAGAGCTATCCAGTATAAATAAAATTAGTTTAGTTTAAGTTTCCTCATGTAGTAACACTGGATCAATAAGAGATGATCCTTACTGGACCTCTAGGAAGAATAGTTTAGAACTGATAGAATTATCCAGTATAAATAAAGTTAGTTTAGTTTAGGTTTCCTCCTGTAGTAACACTGGATCAATAAGAAATGATCCTTACTGGACATCTAGGGAGAACAGTTTAGAACTGATAGAGTTATCCAGTATAAATAAAGTTAGTTACGATATATACACGAATGTTAATTTACGATATATACACGAATCTTCTTTCCTCGGCGGACAAAATCCCAACAGAGCCCAGCGATGAACATAAGGCAGGTTCCTTCCTGTAGTAACATTGGATCAATAAGAGATGATCCGGCCTTATATACTGGACCTCTGAGAAGAACAGTTTGGAACCGATCGAGCTATCCAGTAGAAATAAAGTTAAGTCTATTTTATAGGTTTCCTCCTGTAGTGAGACTGGATCGATAAGAAGTGATCTTTACTGGATCTCTAGGAAGAACAGTTTAAAACTGATAGAGCTATTTAGTACAAATAAAGTTTAGTTTAAGTCTCCTCCTTCATAGACTGGACCTCGATTTAATAAGCCGTAGTCCTTATGCTGGACCTCTGGGAAGAACTACTGTTAGATTAGACTGAATAGCTCGATCAGATCTAAACTGTCCATCCGTTACGTAGAGGCCCAGAAAGGATACCCCTTGTCGGTCCAGTGACAGTGTTACTACAAAAGCCGAAGAATAAAGTCGAAAAAATATCCTGGTATTGGTAGTCTAGAGTCAAATTAGAAACACTCTTCTCGCAAGCGACTGAGGTGAAATTATAATCAGACAACTGGATATTGCGGGAGTCTTAGTCTGGTCACAGAGGTAAAAGATCTAAATGTGCACTAACACTTGGTATCCTTATTTTACAGGTCATATTCGAGGAGCTGATTGAAATATGTTGTAAAACCTGTTGGAAATTGAATCTTACAGGCCAGGTCTCTCGACAATCGATTACAACGGGAAAAATTCCTTCGTACATCGACATCGTCCTACCGTACAGCTCAAGTGGCGAAGAAACAAAAGTCAAAGACATGAATTTTGTGACGTTTGTGGAAAACCCTTCAGTGGTTTACATCACAAAGAAGGAAAGTGCAAGCGCTATCCCGAGGAAATTGATTGGAGCGATATGGAATGCGTGGCCTGTGCTGATTATGGCCTTGTTGTTGTCCGTGGTCTCAGGAGTTTTGCTTTGGTTTTTGGTAAGCAAAGTATATAGACGAGCTAGTTTTCCTTGACATGTTTTATTTGCTCGTGCATGTCTACGGCAAAAAACTGACACTGAATTTTTCCTAGCCAAGCAGCCTTGTTCCGAAGCTATAGTCATGCCAGTTTTTCGACAAGGAAAATTTGTTCGTGTGTACGGCCACCAATGAAAAGTTGACAAGTGTACAACAAATGCTTACGAAAACTAAAGGTGGCCTTGACGTAAGAGAAATGTTTGAGAGGCAATTTTTTTCCATGTCGCTATTTGCGAAGAAAAGTATTCAAAACCCAAAATCTTTTTAGCATACCTCTCAAAACTGCTTTGTTTTATCTGTGTTCACTAGTTTATACAGACAGTTAGCTACCTTTTTAAATGCATCTGCCGGTTGAGAAACATAAAAATGATAGTAAAAGTTTTTTTCAATTAAAATACAATTATCAATGATGCTTTCAAAGTGCATGAGCAAAACGTAGTGAACTCCAGACATAATTTTCTCTTTGGCGTACCATCTAAAATCATTTGAGCATTACTTTATAGATAAAACACTAAACATACTTTTTAAGTTTATTTGACGATTGAGAAACATATACCTGCCATTTATGTTCGTAATTTATGTCTTGACTGTTAATGTCTTGTAATTCTTGTGGTATATGGATGGCGAAGCTAATAAATTCAAATTCAGCATACAAAAAATATCTTAACTAACATTCCGGGCACACACAAACAACAAAACTTGTCAAGAAAAAAGGTGCTCGTCTATATATGCACGGGACTTAAGTATAGTCATATATAGATATATCATCTATCATTTTATCTGTATATCTATTCGTCTATCTATATTTGTGTTTCGCTTTGTTCCAAGTCTTTCTGAGGATAAAAGATTAAAGCGCTATTAAAACTATGATGAGAATTGCAACTCTCTGGCTCGCGGTTCACTATACCCCTTATCGACTGTCATGCATCTTCGAGCTAGTTCAAATTTTGACAAGAGTTTTTGCTCGTTCAACCTGTAACATTCATTCAATTCTCATTTCTTCATCATTCAATTCTCACGATTTCTTCATAAGTAACTTCAAAACCTTAATCGACAACTATTTCACCAATTTGGAGAGGAATAGTGTGTGACAACCACTTGTGGGGCGGATTTTGATTCGAAGGAGTAATTTTTGGGTCTGGGAGGGTTAACATAACATACTATTTCTAGTTATATATGTGATTCAATCTAAGTTATATATAGTGTTCATTGGGCTTTCTTTTTATATATTTATATAGTATGTAATAAATTTTTCATATTTGTAAATATTTTAACGGCCCCTTGAAAAGCAGTTTAAACTGAAGAGCTACGTTTTTGAATAAGATGAATAATAATAAAAATCAACTGTTATACAACTTTTGTTCTCGTTTGACCGGGGCATAGGAGTTGAGAAAACTCTCACAACGACATAATGAACAATCGCGTCTTTCATGGTAATTGATTATTGTTTGCTCTCTGCTGGAAAGGAGACGGGAAGGCATCGATGATTACTGATCATTAACTAATGATAAACGAGTAATTACTGACTTCATGTTGATCACTTGCAGTGTCCATAGTAACTCGAAAATAAACATTGGCTTGATCGACCAAAGTTATTGCCATCGGTAAACCAATGATACATTTTTACCATTTCCAGGAATTCTGGAACAACCCTGAAGAATTTCCTCGCTCGTTTTTCAAAGGAGCGTGGGAAGGATTTTGGTGGGCGTTTGTATCCATGACAACAGTAGGGTAAGTGTCTTCTAAACACTGGACCAATATGGGGGCGGCTCTTACTGGACCTCTAGAGAGAACAATTTTGAACTGATAGAATTATCCTGAGGCCCTTGTAAGGTTAATATGGTAAACTGTCTGTCTCAGTTTGGGCTAACTACGTACTCTGGTTTCCTCCCGTAGTGGATTAAAAGGAAAGCTTTTACTCTACTTATAACAATTTAGAACTGATAGAGCTATTCAGTATAAATAAAGTTAGTTTAGTTTAGGTTTCCTCCTGTAGTAACACTGGATCAATAAGAGATGATCCTTACTGGACGTCTAGGGAGAACAGTTTAGAACTGATAGAGCTATTCAGTATAAATAAAGTTAGTTTAGTTTAGGTTTCCTCCTGTAGTAACACTGGATCAATGAGAGATGTTCCTTACTGGACCTCTAGGGAGAACAGTTTAGAACTGATAGAGCTATTCAGTATAAATAAAGTTAGTTTAGTTTAGGTTTCCTCCTGTACTAACACTGGATCAATAAGAGATGATCCTTACTGGACCTCTAGGGAGAACAATTTAGAACTAATAGAGCTATCCAGTATAAATAAAGTTAGTTTAGTTTAGGTTTCCTCCTGTACTAACACTGAATCAATAAGAGATGATCCTTACTGGACCTCTAAGAAGAACAGTTTAGAACTGATAGAGCTATCCAGTATAAATAAAGTTAGTTTAAGCTTCCTCCTCTAGTACTGAACTTCTAGGAAGACAGTTTTGAACTGATAGAGCTATCATGAGGCCCTTGTAAGTTCTAGCTTTGGTCGGAACTACGTGAAAGAGACAAAATATCTACGTTTTAAGCGATGGCATCTCATGTGGAAATTAGTGGCCAATGTGTTAGCGGTTCATTGGTGAATACTGACTTTTTTGTTTATCACTTTCACGTGAAGATATCTTGTTGTGTTTGGTTCAATCGCAGTGGGAGTTACAATTAGACGCGCAAAAGTCAGTAGAAAAAGCGCAAAAGTCAGTCCGAAAGACATTGTAAACTTTCACTGTACAGTTATCAGGCCCATTTTGGAATATTGTGCCCCGGTTTTCCATTACTCAATCCCATCCTTCCTGTCAGAAGATCTTGAGACGGTACAAAAGCGAGCACTGAAGATCATTTTACCCGCGAGCTCATATAGCGAAACTTTAGAATATTTCAATCTTCAAACTTTGTTCCAAAGACGCGATGAAATGTGTAACAAACTTTTTACAAATATTACTATCAATCCGACACACAAACTGCATAATTTACTGCCTCCCAAACATGAGTCGGTTTACCAACTTAGGAACAATAGACTGTTTGAACGATTCGAATATATCTATCTATCTATCTATCTATCTATCTATCTATCTATCTATCTATCTATCTATCTATCTATCTATCTATCTATCTATCTATCTATCTATCTATCTATCTATCTATCTATCTATCTATTGGTACATGTAGTAACTACCACCAACTATAACCTTTAACTAACCCAACCTTGTTTAATTTCAGTTATGGTGACCGTGCTCCCAGGTCGATCTTGGGTCGAACTTTTGCAACCTTTTGGATTATAATCGGTATCTGCATATGTTCAATCTTCACCGCCACCTTAACTACATCCCTGACTACCATCACTTTGAAGGAACAGAAGACGCTCGCTCGTGCCAAGGTCGGTATGATGGAGATGGTTTAATATACCGGATATTTCTATCAGTTCTGAACTGTTTTTTCTAGGGGTCCAGTAAAAGTCATGTTTTGTTGATCCAGTGTTACTACAGGAGGAAACCTAAACTAAACTAACTTTATTTATACTGAATAGCTTTATCAGTTCTAAACTGTTCTTCCTAGAGGTCCTGTAAGGCTCATCTCTTATTGATCCATTGTTACTACAGGAGGAAACCTAACCTAAACTAACTTTATTTATTTATACTGAATAGCTCTATCAGTTTTAAACTGTTCTTCCAGAGGTCCAGTAAGGATCATCTCTTATTGATCCAGTGTTACTACAGGAGGAAACCTAAACTAAACTAACTTTATTTATACTGATAGCTCTATCAGTTTTAAACTGTCCTTTCTACAGGTCCAGTAAGGATTATCTCTTATTGATCCAGTGTTACTACAGGAGGAAACCTAAACTAAACTAACTTTATTTATACTGAATAGCTCTATCAGTTTTAAACTGTTCTTCCTAGAGGTCCAGTAAGGATCATCTCTTATATTGATCCAGTGTTACTACAGGAGGGAATCTAAACTAAACTAACTTTATTTATACTGAATAGCTCTATCGGTTTTAAACAGTTCTTCATAGAGGTACAGTCAGGGTCATCCCTCATTGGTCCATTGTTACTGCAGGAGGAAACCTAAACTAAACTAACTATATTTATACTGAATAGCTTTATCAGTTCTAAACTGTTCTTCCTAGAGGTCCTGTAAGAATCATCTCTTGTTGGTCCAGTGTTACTGCAGGAGGAAACCTAAACTAAACTAACTTTATTTATACTGAATAGCTCTATCAGTTTTAAACTGTTCTTCCTAGAGGTCCAGTAAGGATCATCTCTTATATTGATCCAGTGTTACTACAGGAGGGAATCTAAACTAAACTAACTTTATTTATACTGAATAGCTCTATCGGTTTTAAACAGTTCTTCATAGAGGTACAGTCAGGGTCATCCCTCATTGGTCCATTGTTACTGCAGGAGGAAACCTAAACTAAACTAACTATATTTATACTGAATAGCTTTATCAGTTCTAAACTGTTCTTCCTAGAGGTCCTGTAAGAATCATCTCTTGTTGGTCCAGTGTTACTGCAGGAGGAAACCTAAACTAAACTAACTTTATTTATACTGAATAGCTCTATCAGTTTTAAACTGTTCTTCCTGGAGGTCCAGTAAGGATCATCTCTTATATTGATCCAGTGTTACTACAGGAGGCAATCTAAACTAAACTAACTTTATTTATACTGAATAGCTCTATCGGTTTTAAACAGTTCTTCATAGAGGTACAGTCAGGGTCATCCCTCATTGGTCCATTGTTATGGCAGGAGGAAACCTAAACTAAACTAACTATATTTATACTGAATAGCTTTATTAGTTCTAAACTGTTCTTCCTAGAGGTCCTGTAAGGATCATCTCTTGTTGGTCCAGTGTTACTGCAGGAGGAAACCTAAACTAAACTAACTGTGTTTATACTGAATAGCTCTATCGGTTCTAAACTGTTTTCCCTAGAGGTCCAGCCATGGCCATCGCTTAAGCTGATCTCGTAGTCTTACTATGTGAGGGATCGAACCACAGTCACAGATGTGAAAAAGATGAAAGGAACATCTACTAATCGCTGTGTTTAACACATTTGTAGGTTGGTGCGATACGTAATTCAATGGAAGCCAATGCGGGCGTCAGCAGTAAAGCAAAACTTATATGTAAGTAATAGACTAAGCCGGATTGGTATTGGGAAAAGTTAGATATGAAACTCAGCCAGACGTTCTTCGTTCTCTTTCCAGATTATAATTCCATCAAAGAATTATGGGAGGCTTTAGATAACGATGCTGTTGAAGGTAATATACATTTTATTTTTTCCATTCCACGCCAAGCGTACCGTATTTATATTCGTTTAAGCGCCAGTCGGATACGACGCTTATTAATTCTTTAATTAAAAAACTATTTTATTTACATCTGCCTTCACAAAGGAACTGCTCATTCCCAAAGTTCTGGAGAGAGAATAGATGATTCCACCTGTCGACTAATTTTTGATCTAGACAAGAAAGACGAAATATATCATCATAGCTCAAAAGAGCATCGTAAAATTAGTAAAATTGCAAAGTTGGGTTGCGAAATGTTGTAAAATACGGAAAATATACCCCTGTTAAATTAGCAAATTTGAGCCGAAAGTGGTGCATTTTTCCGCGCGTGATACTAAAATACTCAAAATTTACTAATTTCACAGGGCTATATTTTGTGTATTTTACAACATTTTGCAACCAAACTTTGCAATTTTACTCATTTTAGGACCTTCTTGTCTGGAAAAAATTAGTCGATAGCTTGGATCATCTATTGAATGAGAGAGTATTAAAATACACCAACTTTGAACTTAAATACACTGTAACATAGGAGCTAGAATAATGAGCCCGGCTAACTGGTTGCAAGGTTGTTCCAGCAAGTCCGATACAGTCATGAAATGACAATATTTTTACAACCTTGGGTCGTCAACTTTGGAACATTCTTCTTATATCATGACTGTATCAAACCTGTTATAACAACTTTGTAACAAGTTTGATAATGCCATCAATCTTGTTACAAGTTGTTAACAGCTTGCTGCAAACTTGTTACAACAACTGGGAATAAGCAGTGCGAACACAACTTGTTGACAGCTTGTGAACAGATTTGTAACAACTTGTTTGCAGACCTGTAACTAGAAACTTGTGCGTTTTTACGTGTGTAGAATTTGGAAGCACTCTTCTGACATACGATTGAGGCGAAATTATAACCGGATGATTGCATCCTGCAGGAATCGTACCATTGTCATGGTGATGAAAGACACATGTATACTAGCCATGGGTTAGGGTTAGGCCCAGGGCACTGTGACACCAGCACCTCACGGAAGTATAATACCGAGCCATTCCCTAGCCAGACTTTTTTTCTACATTTAGGTATTCTCTTGGACTCGTATTTCTCAGCGACAGCCAAGATGCTAGATTATATTGAAGATAATGATTTCAGAATTTCTCAAACGATTGAGGTCGATGAGAGATCGTATGGTATCTTGGTTCGAGATGAGAACTTGGCAAGATGTCTGAAAGAAGAACATTTGGAACAGGTGGATGAAAATGCATATGATATAAACGAAATTATAACAGATGAAATTGAAAGTGAGGTACTGGAAATTATTGTATGTATAGTGGAAACACAGACTGACTTGTAAGCTTGTAACTGGGGTGAAGGCTATTTCAGATACGGTAGAGCACCTAGTCCCCAGGCCTTTACCGGCGCGACCGCGAAATTCAATATGGCGCCAAGCTAAGGAGTGGAGTTTAAATGGAGTTTATATTCTATATTTTCTATTGTTGTTTTTTGGTCTTTTTATTCTTTTTGGTTGGTAGAACTTATATTCTGAAATGCCAGGTATCTTATTCTTTATCTGATTAATCTGAAAAAAGATTTTATGACAGAATTTTTCTCAAACATAGTTAAAGTTATAATGTATTAACTATTAAAGTCTTATCTGTACGGATATACTGAGTGAGTGATGGTTGTGACTGGGTTGTTCATTTAACAATGAAATCAATTTAGACTATTTTACTCAAACTGGCAAGCTACGGTTAAATAATTACTTGGCTTGATGAAGATGATATTATTTAAGCAGGATAATACATGCCAATGTGGTCACAGCTAGTGCATTAATTGACAGCATTCTAATAGACTGAGTATTAGCAGTTTTAAAAAGTTAAACTGCCAGACGTATGATATTTTATCATATAATTGATATAAATTATAAAAAATAAAGTGCTATAACTGAATAGTGGAACAATATTGCTTGCATTTTCACCACCACACTCACAATTACCTTATGAATGTGAGCATGCCATGTTGCAGTGAAAAAATATTATGATTCTGGCAAACATACCAATTAACATGGGCAAATTTGTTTAAACAATGTACACTGCAACAAATCATGATACAGACAAGCACATCCTGTATATGAGGCTTGCTAAGATGTGTAACAAACATTATTCAACATCACACAATTTAGTTACTGTCACAAAAATACACATAATAGAGTAAAACCTTATATGAATATCATATCTGTAAAGAATTCAGATATTCAAGTACTTCAACAAGACATAAAAGAACACATAGTGGAGGCAAACTTTATGATCAATCTCATGTTTGTCATTAACAGTAGGGTGTAATGGACTAAGGGGTGGACCATTAGAAAAGTGATGGGGGGGGGGGAGGGAAGCAAAAATAAAAATTGAACAGAAAAAAAAACTTGTGCACCAAAAGTTTGAAAAAAAAATTCGTGCACAGACTTTTCAATAGGGAAAATTATAAGTTGAGTTGTTGTTATAAGTTTACTATCAGGGGGAGGGGCAGAGGAGGCAATTTGCCCCGAGCCACCAGTGTAAGGGTGGCCCCCAAATTTGAAAAATAAAAAAAATAATTTGGAACGCTTTTTATATAAGTAATGGTGTGAGAAAAAATTTCCTAAACCTAAATCTTGCAGATATTGGTGCAAAAAAAAGGGTTTTAAGCGTGTTTTAACAAGAATTTGTCAGGGAAAATTTCTTTTGAACCTAATTAACTTAATTGATGTTAGTTAGTTTTTTCAAAAAAAATTTTGAAAAAATAATTGTACAGGTTGGAAATGTCCTACACCCCCCACCCCCATCACTTTTCTAATGGTCTGTCCCTAAGCCATCCCCTTTAATGTGTTTCTTTAGTTGGGAGAGGAGTTCTGAGGCCCTTCATAATTTTTGAAGATTACATTACATAATACAATATTAATTTTACTCATTGCAAACAGTAAGCTACAAATGAGCCTTGTATTCCATAGACCATGGAATGCAAAGTATTTAACTATTTCTGGGTAAAGTTCAGTGATTTAGAGTATTTATATAGATATTGTTTTTAAGAAGTTAAAACTGATCACATCATCAATCTATTTTTTGGGTCAAGGATATACCCTGCAAAAATAGGACTTTCCATTTATTTCACAACTTGAAATTCACACTCTATTAGATACTAGGGGCATATGGGGTACTCATTTCCCAGAGCCTTAATTATGGATAGGATGAAGTCTAGTGCACCCCGTCAAGGGCCCCCTTGCCGTACTGTTCAGAGTGTAGGCAGGGAGTCGGCTTTTAAGCTAAAAAATTTTTTAAAAATATTAATTAATTAAATAAATAATTAAATATTAATTAATAATTATTAATTATTATTTACTATTAATTTGTTTATAATTATTATTATTAATTAATTAATTATTAATTTAATTTATTAATTAAATTAATTATTTAAATTAAAATTTCCAAACACTGCATAAAGGTTAGCCCAGGGACCTTCCATGACAAGGCACACCCCCTGGGCCCCTGGCTCTTGCCGGGCACAGCCCTCAAGAGTTGTGCCACTGAGGAGTGAACCTCTGACCATATTCCAGCCAGCTTGTGAGCTAATTCAATCATAAAATGTTGAGTTCATAAACCATGATATGCAGGGCAAAGGTACAGAAACGTCTAGTGGCAAGGGTCGACCAGAGGGTGGGTACAATTGCATCTGACTGATTTCTCAATGAGTATGGAATACTCGGGATTACCAACTAAGTTAATTGGTCTTTTGGAATTTTGTGTGTATTATGTCTATAATGCCAATGGAGAAA